GTTCTCCCTGGAATTATTCTCCCTGGGATTGTCCCTGGAATTATTCTCCCCGGGGTTCTCCCGGTGCCGCTCTCTCCGCAGCAGCAGCCGCCCGTAGGTGCCCCCGGCCCGGCCCTTGGTCAGACGCCCGGGATTGATGCAGACACAGCCCCGGACGTCCTGCAGGGAACGGGAATCAGGGAATGGGAACGGGGATGGGAATCAGGGAACGGGAATCAGGGAATCAGGGAATGGGAATCAGGGAATGGGAATCAGGGAACAGGAATCAGGGAATGGGGATGGGAATGGGGATGGGGACAGGTGTTGAAAATCCACGGATTCAGTGGAACCGGGAGCCCACAGGAACCCAGATCCCAAAATTCGCCATTTCCAGAGGATTTGGGTCCATCCAGCCCAGCCCCAGCCCCCAGCTTCAATCCCGGCTCCAATCCTGGCTCCAATCCCAATCCTGGCTCCATCCCATCCCAATCCCAATCCCATCCCAGTCCCATCCCATCCCAATCCCATCCCATCCCAATCCCGGCTCCAATCCCAATCCCTGCTCCAATTCCAATCCCAATCCCACCCCAATCCTGATCCCGATCCCATTCCTGTTCCCATTCCCAATCCCAATCCCGTTCCCAACCCCAATCCTAACCCCAGTCCCATTCCCATTCCCGTTCCCGTTCCCAATCCCATTCCATTCCCGTTCCCATTCCATTCCATTCCCGTTCCCATTCCATTCCCGTTCCTGTTCCCATTCCCATTCCCATTCCCAATCCCATTCCCATTCCCATTCCCGTTCCCATTCCATTCCCGTTCCCATTCCATTCCCGGTTCCCATTCCCGGTTCCCATTCCCGTTCCCGTTCCCATTCCCGTTCCCGTTCCCATTCCCGTTCCCGTTCCCATTCCCGTTCCCATTCCCATTCCCGTTCCTGTTCCCATTCCCATTCCCGTTCCCGTTCCCATTCCCGTTCCCGTTCCCATCCCCGTTCCCATTCCCATTCCCGTTCCCGTTCCCGTTCCCGTTCCCGTTCCCATTCCCACCCCGTTCCCGTTCCCGTTCCCGCCCGTCCGCACCTTGAGGAAGAAGCGCAGCTCCGAGGGCGTCACCAGCACGTCCGGGGTCACCGGCAGCGCCGGCAGCGCCTCCAGGTGAACGTTCAGCTCCTCCGAGGGCGGGAACAGCGGGTAAAAACTGCCGGGAAACGGGAAAGTTCCGGGAAAAAAACGGGATCGGGGCGGGAAACGGCGGGTTGGGGAGGAAAGAGGAGATTTTGGGGAGGAAAGAGGAGATTTTGGGGAGGAAAGAGGAGATTTTGGGGAGGAAAGAGGAGATTTTGGGGAGGAAAGAGGAGATTTTGGGAGGAAAGAGGAGTTTTTGGGAGGAAAGAGGAGTTTTTGGGAGGAAAGAGGAGATTTTGGGGAGGAAAGAGGAGATTTTGGGGAGGAAAGAGGAGATTTTGGGGAGGAAAGAGGAGTTTTTGGGGAGGAAAGAGGAGATTTTGGGAGGAAAGAGGAGATTTTGGGGAGAAAAAAGCTGATTTTGGGGAGGAAAGAGCTGGTTTTGGGAGGAAAGAGGAGGATTTGGGAGGAAAGAGGAGATTTTGGGAGGAAAGAGGAGATTTTGGGGAGGAAAGAGGAGATTTTGGGAGGAAAGAGGAGATTTTGGGGAGGAAAGAGGAGATTTTGGGAGGAAAGAGGAGATTTTGGGGAGGAAAGAGGAGATTTTGGGAGTAAAGAGGAGGATTTGGGGAAGAAAGAGGAGATTTTGGGAGGAAAGAGGAGGATTTGGGGATTAAAGAGGAGATTTTGGGAGTTCCTCACCAGCGCTGGGTCAGGATGTGCCGCAGGATCCGCGTGAAGCGATCGGAGATCCCCGAGGAGCTGCGGGAGGAAAATGGGTGAGAAAAGGGAGGAAACGGGAAAAAAGGGACGGGGAAAAAGGGAAAAATGGGAAAGGAAAACAGGGAGGGAAAGGGGATTTGGGAAGGGAAGGGAAGAGGGAAAAGGCAGAGGAGAAAAGGGGAAAAAAGAGGGGAAAACACTAAAAAAAGGGAGAAGAGTAAAGAAAGGGAGAGAAAGGTTAAAGAAATGGGGAAAAAGGTTAAAGAAATGGGGAAAAAGGTAAAAGAAATGGGGAAAAAGGTAAAAGAAATGGGGAAAAAGGTAAAAGAAATGGGGAAAAAGGTAAAAGAAATGGGGAAAAAGGTAAAAGAAATGGGGAAAAAGGTAAAAGAAATGGGGAAAAAGGTAAAAGAAATGGGGAAAAAGGTAAAAGAAATGGGGAAAAAGGTAAAAGAAATGGGGAAAAAGGTAAAAGAAATGGGGAAAAAGGTTAAAGAAATGGGGAAAAAGGTAAAAGAAAAGGGGAAAAGGTAAAAGAAAACAGGGAAAAGGTAAAAGATGGGGAAAAAGGTAAAAGAAATGGGGAAAAAGGCAAAAGAAAACAGGGAAAAGGTAAAAGAAAAGGGGAAAAAGGTAAAAGAAAAGGGGAAAAAGGTAAAAGAAATGGGGAAAAAGGTAAAAGAAATGGGGAAAAGGTAAAAGAAATGGGGAAAAAGGCAAAAGAAAACAGGGAAAAGGTAAAAGAAAAGGGGAAAAGGTTGGAAAGAGGCACCTGCTGATCTCCTCAGCCCCCATGTGGAAGAGGAGGTCGGTGGAGGTGAGGCCGAAGACGACGCCGTCGATGTCCAGGGTGCAGGGCTCGGACACCAGGAGCACGCGCTGGACACACGGACACGGGGCTGGAGCCCAGGACAGCCCAAATCTGCCCCAAATCTGCCCTGAACGCCCCAAATCTGCCCTGAACGCCCCAAAAATGCCCTGGAACACCCCAAATCTGCCCCAGGACACCCAAATCTGCCCCAGGACACCCAAATCTGCCCCAGAATGCTCCAAATCTGCTCTGAAATGCCCCAAAACTGCCCCAGAACTCCCAAAATCTGCCCCAAAATGCCCCAAATCTGCCCTGAACACCCCAAATCTGCCCCAGGACACCCAAATCTGCCCCAGAATGCCCCAAATCTGCTCTGAAATGCCCCAAAACTGCCCCAGAACTCCCAAAATCTGCCCCAAAATGCCCCAAATCTGCCCTGAACGCCCCAAATCTGCCCTGAACGCCCCAAAAATGCCCTGGAACACCCCAAATCTGCCCCAGGATACCCCAAATCTGCCCTGGAACACCCCAAATGTGTCCCAAAACACCCCAAATCTGCCCTGAATGCCCCAAAATGCCCCAAATCTGCCCTGAACACCCCAAATCTGCCCCAGGATACCCCAAATCTGCCCTGGAACACCCCAAATGTGTCCCAAAACACCCCAAATCTGCCCTGAATGCCCCAAAATGCCCCAAATCTGCCCTGGGACACCCCAAATCTGCCCCAGGACACCCAAATCTGCTCTGAAATGCCCCAAATCTGCTCTGAAATGCCCCAAATCTGCCCCAGGACACCCCAAATCTGCCCTGGAACACCCCAAATCTGCCCCAGGACACCCAAATCTGCTCTGAAATGCCCCAAATCTGCTCTGAAATGCCCCAAAACTGCCCCAGGACACCCCAAATCTGCCCTGGAACACCCCAAATCTGCCCCAGGACACCCAAATCTGCTCTGAAATGCCCCAAATCTGCTCTGAAATGCCCCAAATCTGCCCCAGGACACCCCAAATCTGCCCTGAACGCCCCAAATCTGCTCAAAATCACCCCAAAAACCGCCCCAATTCCGCCAAGTTTTCCTTAAACCCCCAAAACATTCCCCAAAACGCCCAGGGCCGAGCTGGGTTTCCTGCAGGAACATCAAATCTGCTCCCGAGGGAGAGAGAATCGTTAAATGAGGGGATCTGAACCCAAAAAAGGCCGGGAGGGGCTTGGGGAGCTCCGGAATCCCAAATCCTCGGCTCCCCCGAAAGCTGCGGCAGGAAATCGCTGCCAGAGAGGGGGGAAAAAAAAAGTGGGAATTTCACCCCAAATCCCAGCTGGGCTTTGCCAGGAATCTCCTGGGAAATTCTCCTTTTGTTTTTGGGGGGAAAAAGCGGAATTTTGGTACCGCTCTGTCCTCCTTGGGCAGGTCCGGGCAGGGGAAGGGAGGCTGCGGATACACGAAATCGTGGGAGACGTCGCGGAGCGAGGGCACCAGGACCAGCTGGCAGCCAGAACTGGGGGAAAAGAGGGGAAAAGAGGGAAAAACGAGAGAGTTTTGGGGTGAAAAGTGACGTTTTTGGGGAAAAATTCCCGTTGGGGATTTGGGGGATTTGGGGTTTGTTTCTGCGGTCACCTCCTGGTGCCCTCGATGATGGTCCTGAGGCAGAGCTGGAAAATGTCGGAGAAGGAGCTCAGGAGTTGGCAGCTCTGGATTGGGGGAAAACAACGGGGATTTGGGACAATTTCTGTATTTTTGGGGGGATTTGGTGCTGCCCCAAATCCTCAGGGATTGAGGGGATTTTGGGGGGATCTCACCTCCACCTGCTCGTGTTTGGCGTCCAGGAACGGCCCAAGCTGCGGAAAAAAAGGGGGAAAATGTGGGAAAAAGGAGCGAAATCACCCCCAGAAAAATCATTTTTAATTAATTCTAAGAATTCTCATTAATTAACCCCAAATTTCAGCCCCCAGCCCCAAAATTTCAGGGCAAAATGAGACCAAAAAGGGGAAATTGCTGTGTCCTGCTCAGGCAGGAGTGAGGATTTGACTCTGAGGGCAGCGTTTGCTCTTAAATCGGAGCTTTTCTGTCATTTTGGGGTGAGAAATGAGGATTTTGGGGATTCTCAGGGTACCAAATGAAAGATTTGGGCTCTCCTGGGGTGAAAAATGTGATTTTTGGGGCTCAGAAATGGGATTTTAATGTGAATTTTGCCGGGTTTGGAGCCTCCCCAGCGGGGTCGGGGCGAGGAGCGGGTTAATAACGGGAAGTTAATTAAGTGTTGAGGGTTAATGAGGAGTTAATGAGGGGCCCTCACCAGGATGCAAACGTCGGGGCGGTCGCGGGCCACCACGTCCAGGAGGTCACTGAGGGGCTCGAAGGCGACGCCGTCCGAGGGCGTGAAGGGGCCACAGGCCACCAGCACCATCCTCTGCCCTGGGGAAAATGGGAGATTTGGGGGGAAAAACGCGGATTTTGGGAGAAAAAAGGGGGTTTGGGGGAGGAAAGGGGAGGGTTTGGGGAGGAAAGGGGAAGTTTTGGGGAGGAAAAAGCCATTTTTGGGGAGAAAAGAACCATTTTTGGGGAGGAAAGAACCATTTTTGGGGAAGATTTGGGGAGGAAAGAGGCATTTTTGGGAGGAAAGAGGCGTTTTTGGGAGGAAAGGGGAGGGTTTGGGGAGGAAAGAGGAAGTTTTGGGGAGGAAAGAACCATTTTTGGGGAGAAAAGAACCATTTTTGGGGAGAAAAGAACCATTTTTGGGGAGGAAAGAGGCGTTTTTGGGAGGAAAGGGGAAGTTTTGGGGAGGAAAAAGCCATTTTTGGGGAGAAAAGAACCATTTTTGGGGAGGAAAGAACCATTTTTGGGGAAGATTTGGGGAGGAAAGGGGAAGTTTTGGGGAGGAAAGAACCATTTTTGGGGAGGAAAGAACCATTTTTGGGGAAGATTTGGGGAGGAAAGAGGCATTTTTGGGGAGAAAAGAACCATTTTTGGGGAAGATTTGGGGAGGAAAGAGGCGTTTTTGGGAGGAAAGGGAAGGATTTGGGAGGAAAGGGGAGGGTTTGGGGAGGAAAGAGGAAGTTTTGGGGAGAAAAAAGCCATTTTTGGGGAGGAAAGGGGAGATTTTGGGGAGAAAAGAGGAAGTTTTGGGAGAGAAAGGGGGATTTTAGGGATGAATAGGGATGGAAAATGTGGGGAGGGAAAATGGGGAGACAAAGAGGCTGGGGGGTGACAAAAGTGGGGGATTTAGGGACAAAAAGGGAGATTTGGGATTCAGAATGGGCATTTGGGGGGAAAAAGGAGTTTGGGGGGTAATGAGGGGAGTTTGGGGATAGAAAGGGTTTGAGGAATCAAAAAGGGGGAGATGGAGAATCCAAAGGGCACTTTGGGGATAGAAATGAGGATTTGGGGGACAAAAGGAAAGGATTTGGGGTCAGAAATGGGGATTTGGGGACAAAAAGTGGAGGCTCCGGGGCTCACCTGCCATGGGCTCCGTGGGGGTGTGGAAGGGCAGCGGGACCCCCTGGGGGAAAGCCAGGAATGACCCCAAATCCCCCAATCCCACCCCAAATCCCCCAATCCCACCCCAAATCCCCCAATCCCACCCCAAATCCCCCAATCCCACCCCCAATCCCACCCCAAATCCCCCCAATCCCACCCCAAATCCCCCAATCCCACCCCCAATCCCCGGCTCCGGGGTCACCTCGTAGAGTTTGGTCACCACCATCCTCCTGCCCGTGCTGTTGGTGCCTTCCAGAGCCACCACCTGCGGCAGGATTGGGGCAAAACCACGGGAAATCGGGAAAAACCACGGGAATGGGGGAAAAGGAGTGGGAAATGAGGGGGAAAGGGCAGGAATTGGGGGAGAAGGGGCAGGGATTGGGGGAAAAAGGGGAGGAATTGGGGAAAAGGGGCAGGAATTGGGGGAAAAAGGGCAGGAATTGGGGGAAAAAGGGAGGGAATTGGGGAGAAGGGGCAGGAATTGGGGAGAAGGGGCAGGGATTGGGGAAAAAGGGTGAGAATTGGGAAAAAGGGGCAGGAATTGGGGGAAAAAGGGCAGGAATTGGGGGAAAAAGGGAGGGAATTGGGGAGAAGGGGCAGGAATTGGGGAGAAGGGGCAGGGATTGGGGAAAAAGGGTGAGAATTGGGAAAAAGGGGCAGGAATTGGGGGAAAAAGGGCAGGAATTGGGGGAAAAAGGGAGGGAATTGGGGAGAAGGGGCAGGAATTGGGGGAGAAGGGGCAGGAATTGGGGAGAAGGGGCAGGGATTGGGGAAAAAGGGTGAGAATTGGGAAAAAGGGGCAGGAATTGGGGGAAAAAGGGCAGGAATTGGGGGAAAAAGGGAGGGAATTGGGGAGAAGGGGCAGGAATTGGGGGAGAAGGGGCAGGAATTGGGGAGAAGGGGCAGGGATTGGGGAAAAAGGGTGAGAATTGGGAAAAAGGGGCAGGAATTGGGGGAAAAAGGGCAGGAATTGGGGGAAAAAGGGAGGGAATTGGGGAGAAGGGGCAGGAATTGGGGGAGAAGGGGCAGGAATTGGGGAGAAGGGGCAGGAATTGGGGAAAACGGGGCAGGAATTGGGGAAAACGGGGCAGGGATTGGGGAGAAGGGGCAGGAATTGGGGAGAAGGAGCAAGAATTTTGGGGGAAAAGGGCAGGGATTGGGGGAGAAGGAGCAGGGATTGAGGGGAGATCCCCCCCCAAGGCACACCTGTCCTGGGAACAGGGAATATTCCGGCAGCTCCGAGAGGTCCAGCGGGATCTGGGCGCCCCCCGAGTGCTCCCTGTCCCCCACCAGCAGCACGGAGCGGGCGTTGAGCTTCCCGTTCCCGTCACAGCTGATCTGCCCCAGCACCGTCACCGGCTCCTGCGGGGACACACCGGGGGGACCCCGAAATGGGGGGGACCCCAAAATGGGGGGGGGGGGTTTAACCCAAACCTGGGGGTTACCCCAAAATGAGGAGTTTAACCAGAAATGAGGGGGTTAACCCAAACTGGGGTTTAACCCAAAATACGGAGGTCACCCCAAACCTGGGGGATTTCACTCCAAATCTGGGGGGGGTTTTACCCCAAACTCAGGGAGGTTTTACCCCAAACTCAGGGAGTTCCACCCCAAACTCGGAGGGGGTTTCACTCCAAACCCAGGGGGGTTTCACCCTAAACCTGGGGGGGGTTTCCCCAAACCCAGGTGGTTCCACCCCAAACCCGGGGGGGGGTTTCACTCCAAACCCAGGGGGTTCCACCCCAAACCCGGGGGGTTCCACCCCAAACTCAGGGGTTCCACCCCAAACCCGGGGCGTTTCACCCCAAACTCAGGGGGTTCCACCCCAAACCCGGGGCGTTTCAGCCCAAACCCAGGGGGGCTCCACCCCAAACCCAGGGGGTTTCACCCCAAACCCGGGGCGTTCCACCCCAAACTCAGGGGTTCCACCCCAAACCCGGGGGGTTCCACCCCAAACCCGGGGGGTTTCACCCCAAACCCAGGGGGTTTCACCCCAAACCCAGGGGGTTTCACCCCAAACCCAGGGGGTTCCACCCCAAACCTGGGGGGTTCCACCCCAAACCCAGGTGGTTCCACCCCAAACCCGGGGGGGGGTTTCACTCCAAACCCAGGGGGTTCCACCCCAAACCCGGGGGGTTCCACCCCAAACTCAGGGGTTCCACCCCAAACCCAGGGGGTTTCACCCCAAACCCGGGGGGTTTCACCCCAAACTTGGGGGGTTTCACCCCAAACCCAGGAGGCTCCACCCCAAACCCGGGGGGCTCCACCCCAAACCCGGGGGGTTCCACCCCAAACCCGGGGGGTTTCACCCCAAACCCAGGGGGCATTTCACCCCAAACCCGGGGCGTTTCACCCCAAACCCGGGGCATTTCACCCCAAACCCGGGCTGGGCTCTCACCTGAGCGGGCAGCGCGGTCGAGCTGAAGCCGTCCAGGCCGTGGTGCCTCCTCAGAACCTCCCCGAGCTCCTCCACCCGCCCGGCCAGCGCTGGGGGTGACCTCAGTGTCACCAAACACCCCCTGAGCCCCCCAAACCCCGAGCCCCCCGCCCTCCCCCCGCTGCAGGGGCACCTTCCCGGACGTCCAGCGCCTTCTGGAACATGAATTTGTAGGGTTTGGTGAGGTTCTGCTCGGGGCCCCCGAAGAGTTTGACGGTGCAGCCGCCGTGGCCGCGCCAGGCCAGGCCCTGGACGGAGCCAAACGAGGCCACGACCTCGCCCCGGCCCCCACGGGACGAGTATTTCTGGGAGGGGGTGACGCTGTGGGGACAAGAAAACCAAAGGTGGTTTAGGCCAGGAGTTGTCCCACCCTGAAAACTCCGTGGATTTGGGGTTTTTCCTCCTTTCCGTGAGCCCATTCTGAGAGCTGAAAGAGAAACAGAGCTCAGAGGGATGAATTCCCTGAGCTGTGGGCAGGGCATTTTACCAGGGCTTAATGGTTTGTGTTGATTAACGAGGCTTTAAAAATGACAAAGTGGTTGTAGCTTTAAAGGTTTTGTAACTGCAAGAAGTTGAGCAGGGCTTTATTTCCCCCGAATTTACAGAGTTTTGGGAATGCTCCACCCCGACTTCCACAATGGTGGGATTTTAAGGGAAAAGGAGAAAGAAAAGAGGGAGAAAGGAGCTGATTTATGGAGCTGTGGTTTCACCCACCTCGGGGAGAAGCTGCCGGGGGAGAAGAGCCCGTAGGGGCTGCGGGACGACAGCGCCCGCTTGGGCCGGGGCGTCTCCGGTGTGGAATTGCTGCGTTTCTGGGAGCCCTGAGAGGGAAAAACCACAAAAAAATGATGTTTCCAGGCTGGTTGGAAGGCAAAGCCCGTGGATTTGGGGTGATGCCCACCTTGGATGGGGTGGTGTAGGCGTCCAGCAGCTCGTCCTCCTGCTCCTCGGTGAGGCTGACGCTCGTTAAGGGGCACCAACGCTCCCGGTTTGGGGTGGAACCCACCCAGGAGCCCCAAATCCAAGAATTCCTCCCATTCCCAGGGATCTGTGAGAGCTCAGGGCGCCCCCACGTCCCGCCCGAGCCCCCCAAAGCACACGGGACAGCCTCGGGGTGTGGGGATACAGCTCCTGCAGCGAGTGGATGTCGTGGAGGAGCCCCCGGCGCTCGTCCCGGCCGCGGCGGCCGCGCTTGGCCAGCACCTGGGACAAGGGGGGAGTGAGGGAGGGAGTGCCCCCCGGCTTTGGGGTGCAGGGGGAAATCGGGGACCCCCACCTCGTGCTCGAAGGCGTCCAGGCCCTCCGGGGTGAGCTGGGGCTCGAGGTCCTTGCTGGTGATGAAGGCCAGCAGCTCGTTGGCCAAGGCCACCGGGCCCAGCCCGTGGCTCAGGCACAGCTCCACCACTGCGGGGAAAAGGGGGGGTCACAAATCCCACCGAGATCCTCCCCAAAAACCTTTGGGTACCCCCCAACCATCCCCTCAAGTCTCTGTGCACCCCCAAAAGCCGGCAGCTCCCAAAATCCCGGCCCCCACAACAGCTCCCTGTGACCCCCCAAAGGAAACTCCGCCTAAACCAAATAACCCCTCACAGCCCCCCAGGTCCCCAGACGCCTTTGAGGATGTCCCCAATGCACCTGACACCCCCAAACCTTCACTGACACCCCCCGAATATCCCCTCGCGCCTCCTCTGACACCCCCAGCCCCCCAAAACCCCTCACATCTCCCCTGACACCTCCCCAGCCTCCCAAACCCGCTTCCTCCTCCCCCAGCTCCCCCCCAGGCCGCGTCCCCCGGAACCCTCACGCTTGTCGGGCACTTCCTCGCCCTGGCAGCGCAGCTCGAAGAGCCGCAGCTCCCTCAGCACCGCCTCGGCCGTCACCGGCTCCCGGCCCCGCTCCGGCTCCAGCCCCGGCTCCGCCATGGCCGCGCTCGAACCGCGCGGGCGCGACTCCGTGAGGGAAAGGGCGTGGCCAAGCCGTATAAGGCGAGGAGGCGTGGCCAAGTCGAGGAGAGGGCGTGGCTATTCAAATTTAGATAGAGCGGACCAATGGGTGCACGATGGGCGGGGAAAGGGGCGGGACAGAAGTGCCTCAAGCCCCGCCCATCGGAATTGGGCGGGGAAAAGGGCGGGAGGAAAAAAAGGGCGGGAAAATTCGCGCCCTCAGAGTGCTGAGGGGGCGGGGCCGAGGCGGCTCTGAGGGAACCGACCCCGGCCCGGGCCTGGGGGGTCCAACCGGGCCTGGGGGGTCCAACCGGGCCTGGGGGGATCCAACCGGGCCGGGGTGTCCAACCGGGCCTGGGGAGGGGTTCCAACCGGGCCTGGGGTGTCCAACCGGGCCTGGGGAGGGGTTCCAACCGGGCCTGGGGTGTCCAACCGGGCCTGGGGGGATCCAACCGGGCCTGGGGGGGTCCAACCGGGCCGGGGTGTCCAACCGGGCCTGGGGGGGGGTCCAACCGGGCCGGGGGGGGTCCAAGCGGGCCCGGGGTGGGGGTTCCAAACGGGCCTGGGGGCTGCACCTGCCCCGGAGGATCCCGCCCCAGGTCCGGGGTCCCCTCCCTGCCCAGCCCCTCACCCCCTCCCCTCACGGCAGCCTCGTCCTGCACCCCCCGCCCAGGAGACACCCCTGGGTTTTAAATCACAACCATCAAAACACCCCAAAAATATATAAATATAACCCCAAATCTGTGATCTATAACCCCAAGACAACCTCTAAACTCGTTATTTTGAAGCACCTTGAGAGCCCCTCACCCCCCGGCTTTGAAAGAGAGAAAGAACTGCCAGAAAAAGAAGTTTTGACTTAAACAACATTTTTTTCCCTTTGGTTTTTACGTCGTTTTTAATTTATACAATAAAAAACCACTTTATGGCACCCGGGGGCAGCAGATCCCTGAAGCAAAGGCGACGGCCGGGGCTCCGTCAGCGCAAGAGGCACCAAAATCGGGAGGATTTGCCCCAGAAGGGCCGAGCGTGAGGCGGGGAGGGACAGGGGGGGCTTTGGCAAAGCTCGGGGGGGTCCCGTGTGACCCCCACCCCTTCCCCCCATCCAGCCTTTTCTGCCGAAAAAAGCCAAGAAAAGGGAAAAACCGGCGCAGGGGTCGTGGAAGGCACTTGGAGGATCCGGTCAGGCGAACATGGTGAGCTGGAGCCACTGCGGACGAGGAGGAGGAGGGTGAGGAGGAGGAGAGGGTGAACAAAGTGTGGGAAAAGGAAGAGAAGGAGGGAGAGGAGAAGGAGGAAAAAGGAAGAGGAAGAGGAGGAAGGGGAAGGCCTCGGGTTCCCCCAGCGGTACCTGCAGCAGGTCGAAGGTGACGACGCCGTCCTGGTCCACGTCCATGGCTTGGAAAAACCCTGAGGGGAGGGAAAGGCGTTGGGATTTCAGGGGGGGAAGTTCCATTTCTGAGGGAAAAGCGTGCTCGGGATGGGATGGGAAGGCTGGGATGGTTTGGGATCCGGTTGGGAGGGATGGTTTGGGATGTTTGGGATGGTTTGGGATGTTTTGGGATGTTTGGGATGGTTTGGGATGTTTGGGATGGGTTTGGGATGGTTTGAGATGTTTGGGATGGTGTTTGGGATGGTTTGGGATGGTTTGGGATGGGTTTGGGATGGGTTTGGGATGGGTTTGGGATGGTTTGGGATGTTTGGGATGTTTGGGATGGTGTTTGAGATGGTTTGGGATGGGTTTGGGATGGGTTTGGGAGGGTTTGGGATGGGTTTGGGATGGGTTTGGGATGGGTTTGGGATGTTTGGGATGGGTTTGGGATGGGTTTGGGATGGTTTGGGATGGTTTGGGATGTTTGGGATGGGTTGGGATGGGTTTGGGATGGGTTTGGGATGGGTTTGGGATGGTTTGGGATGGGTTTGGGATGGTTTGGGATGGCCTGGGATGTTTGGGATGGTTTGGGATGGTTTCTGGGATGGTTTCTGGGATGGTTTGAAATGTTTGGGACGGTTTTTGGGACGGTTTGGGATGGTTTTTGGGACGGGGCTGCTCACGGAACATGGTCTCGAGGCGCACGAGGCAGCAGACGAAGCTGTCGAAGTCCAGGGCCAGGTCGGGCTCGGCGTAGCGGGTGATGAGCAGCTCGTGCAGCCGCTTGTTCAGCCGGTACCCTGGGACAGGGGGACACCCCGGGGGTCACCCGGGGGTCCCGGGGCAGGGGAGGGCCCAGGGGGGTCCCCGGGGGTCACCTGCGGCCTCCAGCGCCAGGCGCAGCTCGTAGGCGCTGATGGAGCCCGACTTGTCCAGGTCGAACTTGCGGAAGATGCTCTGGGCAAAACCAGCCCCCCCCAAAAAACAGGGGTCACTCGTGGGGAGAGACCCCCAAAAACACCCCCAGTGCACCCCAAAACCCCCCAAAAAACCAGGGGTCACTCCTCAGGGGAGACCCCCAAAAACACCCCCAGTGCACCCCAGACCCACCAGGTAGTTGCGGATGCGGTTCCAGAGGACGTTGAACTCCACCAGCCCCAGTTTCCCGTTCCCATCTTTCTGAGGGAGGGGGGTTAAGGAAAGGGCAGCTTGGGGGTCCCCCCAGAGCCCCCCCAGAGCCCCCCCAGAGCCCCTCAGAGACCCCCAAAGCCCCCCCAGAGCCCCCCAGCCCGCGGCCGCAGGATACGTCCATCAGGTTGACCATGCTCCGGCAGGACTCGGTGCTGAAGCCCTTGGTCCGCAGGTCTTTGTCTGGGATTGGGAGGATTGGGGTGTTAACGAGGGCTGGAGGTGTTAATGAGGGCCGGGGGTGTTAATGAGGGCTGGGGGTGTTAATGAGGGCCGGGGTGTTAATGAGGGGGGCGGGGTTAATTGGGGTGGAGCCCCCCTAAATCCCGGCCCGGCTCACGTTTGCCCATGATGCGGTTGAGGATGGTCTGGAGCTCGGTGACGCTGATCTCCAGGTCCTGGGGAGGGGACACGGGGGTGGCCTCGGTGTCACCGCTCAGCAGTGACATCATCGGCAGCCAATGACGCCAACGGCGACCAATGATGTCACTGGTGACCAATGACGCCATTGGTGATCAGTGATGTCAATGACAACCAATGATGTCACCGGCAACCAATGACATCAATGATGACCAATGACATCACCAGCGATCAATGACATCACCGGTAGCCAATGACATCAATGGTGATCAATGATGTCATCAACAACCAATGACATAATTGCCAACCAATGACATAACCTACAACCAATGACATCATCAACATCCAATGGCATCAACAACCAATGACATCATTGCCAACCAATGGTGCCACTGGCATCCAATGACATCATCGTCAACCAACGGTGCCGTACCCAATCAATGACGTCACCAACAACCAATGGCGTTACCAGCAACCAATGACATCACAGCAACCCATGACATCATTGCCAACAAATGACATCACTCCCAACAACGACACCGCACCCAACCGATGACATCATCACCAGCCAATGACGGCTGTCGGTGACATCACCGCCACGCGCTGAGGTCACGGCCAGCGCCCCCCCGATGTCACCTGGATGTCACCTGGATGTCACCGTCCCTTACCGGCCCCGCCAGCTGCCTGAAGAGCTGCTTGAAGTTCTCGTCGATTTTGCTCTCCCGCAGCACTTTCTGGGGGAAGTTTGGGCACAGTTTGGGTACCCTGGACCCAAACCCGGCACAGCCCGGTCCCAGCACATCCCGGTGCCCCCCGGCACACCCCCGGTGCCCCCCGATCCCGGCTGACCTCGTCCGGCAGCGTGGCCTGGATCTTGTCGTCCATCTCCCTGCGGACAGAGCGAGAGCGGGGTGGGCGCGGGGGCGCGGCGGGAGCTCGGCGGCGCCCGCGGGCCGGCGCTTACTCGGTGCCGGCTCTCTTCTCGGAGAAGACGCGGAGCACGAAGTCGCCCTCGCGGTTGGGCTCGAAGGTGGAGGGCACCACGATGTACTCGCCGGGCGGCAGCCGGAAGCGCGTGCTGACCTCGCGCAGGTTGATGAACTGCTCGGAGCGCGCGCGCGACGCGTTGGCCAGGAAGAACTCGCGCTTGAGGTGCACGGCCGACCTCCCCACGTACTGCGGGCAGCGGGGGAACCGCTACAGAGACACCCCTGGAGCGGCACCGGGGGGACCCCGAGAGCGGCACCGGGGGGATCCCCAGAACAGCACCAGGGGACCCTGAGAGCGGCACCGGGGGGACCCCGAGAGCGGCACCAGGGGGACCCCGAGAGCGGCACCGGGGGACCCCGAGAGCGGCACCGGGGGACCCCGAGAGCGGCACCGGGGGGATCCCCAGAACAGCACCGGGGGGACCCCGAGAGCAGCACCGGGGGGACCCCGAGAGCAGCACCGGGGGGACCCCGAGAGCGGCACCAGGGGACCCCGAGAGTGGCACCGGGGGGACCCCGAGAGCGGCACCGGGGGGACCCCAAGAGCGGCACCGGGGGGATCCCCGAGAGCGGCACCGGCGGCGCGGAGCACCCACCTCAGGAGGGACCTGTGTGGAAAGAGGAGACACCAATTGGCCCTGGTGGGCGAGAGGTGACACCAGGTGACCCTGAGGGACCCCAGCTAACGGCACCTGACCCCATCGACCCTAGGGGACCCCAGGTGACCCCAATTGACCCCAGGGGACCCCAATCAGCCCTAGCGGACCCCAGGTGACCCCAATTGACCCTAGGGGACCCCAGGTGACCCTGATCAGCCCCAGGGGACCCCAGGTGACCCCAATCAGCCCTAGGGGACCCCAAGTGACCCCGATCGGCCCCAGGGGATGTTGCCTGTCCCCCGCTGACCCCAGTTGATGCTGGTTGACCCCAGTCAATACCAGTTGATTCCATTTGACCCCAGTCAATGCTGGCTGGCCCCAGCTGATCCCAGTTGACCTCAGTTGACCCCAGCTGATCCCAGTCAATCCCAGTTGAGCCCAGTCAGTGCTTGTTGACCCCAGTCGGCCCCAGTT